TCCAGTCTTGTCAAGGATGGGCTTGCCGAGCTCGTCCTCATTGTTCCGGAGCGGCGCATATCCACGGAGAGTCAAGCGCGGCTGAAGTGCGCTGGCTGGAATCATATTCTGCAGGTGTCGGACCTGTCAGTGCACGCACCGCTGGCGCGGCTAAAGGACACATTTAACAAGCTGTATGTGTTCAATCTCACAGAGTACTCTCGGGTGGCGATGTTCGACGGAGATATGCTTATGATTCGCAGTCCCGATTTGGTCTTCGATGCCGATCTCCCCAATGAGCGCTATGTTGGGGCCATTGGTAGCCACAGGAAGATGTACTTTCAGACGGGCATGATGCTTGTGATTCCCTCCAGCGATGTGTTTCATGCCCTGTTGTACGAGTTGCAGCACAATAAGCACCAGCGCGACTTCAACGGGCGTGATGGTCGCCTCATTCGAACGTACTTCCAGGAGCACTACGTTGTGCTGGAGCGTCTGCTTAGCATTCATATACGGCCGGGTGATCCGCTCATCAGCCACGCCATTGGACTCCACTACCGTGGCAGCTGGAAGCCGTGGTACAACAGGGAAGACCCTCCCGCTCCGCCGCAGCGCATCACGGCGGATGAACTTGGGCAGGAGCTCGGCGAGCCGTACAGACTCTGGTGGAAGACATATGAGCAGCTGCACGTGCAGTGCATGACTGTACAAGAGGCACTTGGGGCTGACACACGGCCTGACGAAGCGCCTGCTGAGTACAATGCATCGGAGTCTATGTGGCTGATGCGACACACAGCACAGAGTTACGTGCAGCTGATGGAGTGGCGTGATGTGCAGCGGCGCAACGTGACGCTGCTTGGGATGCGGCTGCTGGAGTCCGCGGTAGGGGCCTCCTGCAGCGAGACGTGTGGGGCCGTTAGGATCGGCGACTTTGACGAGGCCCTTCAGTGTGTGGAAAACGCGCTGAGTTTTGTCTCTGTTAATTCGGAAGAAACAATGCGGCGTGTATTTCACTGCAGGCACATCTCTCTTGACGTTCCTACGCCGTATCATCCGTCGTTTGACACGCAAACACGCGCCTGCTACATCAATTCACTGCATGGTAAACGGGAAAGACCAACATGTGATGCAAAAGCTCCGCGACACCACCGTCTCTGTGCGTGTCTTGCGCCGTCGAACCATCGAGGTAACACTGTTGTTGCGCAACCAGCACCAACAGCAAATCATCGTCTGGAAAAGGTGGCAGTTATCCCCACTGCCACCATCACCACCACCAGCAGCAGCGGCAGCAGCAGCGTCAGTGGTGATGCAGCAGCCTGTATGGCATGGCTGTCGCATTCTATGCATGAGGTGGCGATGCCGGAGCGCAGCAGGAGTTGTGCGGCGTTTTTGTCACAGTGGTACCGCGTGGTGGCGATACCTCGCCAGCGCAACGCTCGCACCATCAAGGTTCGCCTTCACTACAAGGGTCAGTTGAGTGCCATTGCCAAACTCGAGCAGCTGTCGTTTCCGCTTGAGCCGCACGCAGAGTACGGTGCCTACGTCGCTTCGCTGCTTCTGGGAATAGGCATGGTGCCGCCCACAACGCTTCTGCGCGTGCCGGAGACAGTGCTGCGTGAGGCGTTATGGGCTCAAGCAGACGAGGCTGAAAGAGACTTCCTTGAGCGTGAACTCTGGTGGATTCACACCGTGGGCAGCGCAGGCATGGTGACTGTAAGTGCGCAGCTGTGGATACCGCAGGATGTGGTGCCGTTTGTCAACGCGACACCACCCATCACAGAGGATGCCTTTGAGCGTTGGCTGGAGGCGGAGAGCCGCGATACAACACATGTCCCAGGCCGCTCTGTAATGCATGACGTCGCGACCATGGTTTTCTTTGACTACGTCATTGCTAACGAGGACAGGAGCTTTACCCACAATGCCCATGTGCTGGAGAAACGTGGCACAGCACAGCAGCAGCAGCTGCTGCTCTTGGACCATGGCAAGAGCCTCCACAGTGAGACAGTGGAGCTGCAAGGCAATCGCCTGTTCCCACGAAAAGTGAGAGTGGGTGAAGCACAGGATGGCGTGGCGGACGCAGAAGAAGTATCAGTACCCATGTGCAAGCTGTCACAGGCTGTGCTTCGTCAAGCGCTCCGCCTTTCCAGAAGACGGTACGAGCCTCTGGCACGGCTATTGCCTCATGGCGAGGCGAAAGTGGATGACGTCATGGGTGACAGCGAGGGCTTTGCGGGGTTGCTGCTGCGTTCAGGACCAGTGACGAACGTCACATGGCGTCTCTCAGAGAAGAGCATTCTGGCAGCCCAGAAACGTCTGGATAAGGCGCTGGAACACTTCGCGCGGTGTGCGGAGCTATTCGGGTTGTCGTTTGTCGCTGGCGGGTGAAACAGCGCCCAGAAGCGTCGGCTTAATTTGTTTCTTATGTGAATTACCGCTGTCTTGAATCACGCAAACTCTCAATGAGGTGTCATACCGCCTGCTATCCAGTGCGGCCCCCGTCCCTTTACCCATTGCGTTGGTTTCCAGTTTGCTTGATTTCTGTTGCCGAAGTCCTTTCGTTCGGCTTTGTTTTTTTTTTTCGTGCTGTTGTGCGTATTTGTACACACAATACCTTTTTTTTTCCGTCGTGCACCAGCGCAGCATGTCTTTTTTTTTTTTCTCTCTCTTCTTTCCGCTTGTTGGCTTGCAGGCGGTTACGTCATTGGGGTGTCTCTCTTCAGCCAGCTGGCGTGCAGGCGAAGGGAGATAAGTGTCACCAACATTATTAAGCAGTAACCCCCGCATCAGAAGGCTGGATGTGAGCAGCAGCCCGGCAGGCCTTGTGGCAGCTTCTCTCATCTGGAAGTCGCATATGGCCATGCGCAGAGTGGCAGTGCTCGGCGACATGGCCAGCGCCACACTGCGCTTTACGCATCTGAAAGGTATAACCATCGCCTCGAGTGCACCGAGAGCCGATAAGCAGTTTTATGTGTCAGGATGATTGAAGGCTCCTACTCCTGTCACTTTTGGTATCACTACTGGTGTCCTTACGCCGCCGATGCCACCTCTGCTCTTTTCGTGGTGATCCACGTGAAGGTGGTGTGGGATGCGATTTGCAGCTGCAGGAATTCGTCGGGTAATGGTCGCGTCGAGGACTAGACGATCACGCGGATGTGATTGGTTCGACGGCACAGCATTACCGCCCTTGTTGAGGCAGAGTTGTGTGTGGGGTGGAGTGTTGCTCACTAAATGAGGCATCTCGCATTGTTGGTTTGAGCTGTACGTGGCCCGGTGTCAGTGGAGGCAGACTTGGTGCCACTTATTCTTCTTCTTTTTTGCCTTTGCATGCTTGCAATAAACTGGAATAGTCCGTGCCGATTGTTGATGTTGTTTGGAGCGCATGGCGCTGAGGTTATAATTTTGTTGTTGTTGGTGGTGGGTGTTTCGTTGTTGTTTTTTTGGTTTTTTAAATGTGTGGGTCAGTTGTGAACTGTGAGATAAGCATTGGCTTGGCCTCCCTTACTTCCGCTGCGCTTGTCTGCTCTCGGTGTCCATCAGGTTGTGAGGTGTCTCCGTCTCTCCTCTATGTGTGAGGGAGAAGGAGAGAGAGAGTTCTCCTCCGCGATGTTGAGTTGCTGCCCATATGAATCCCCCCCCCTCTTATGTCAGTTGTGCCTCCTTGCCCAGCTGCACCGTGCTGCGGGAAGGAAGGAAGGAAAGAAGGTATTCACACCCACTCACTTTCTTGCTCTCACATAGGCGCACGTGCGCACTCTCACGCGCGTTTCAACACTGCTGAGAAGTGCGACGCTGCGAATATTTTCGTCACACACGCACGCGCCATCAACAGCAGCAGCAGTGGTCCAAGAATGAGCTCCGCCCTCAGCTCCTCCACCACCTCCGCCGACGGCAGCGGCGCGGCGCGGCGCCACCGCATGGTCACGCGGTCACTCATTAAAGGCCGAACTCCGCTCGGCCCGAGCGACGGCCCCGTGGGCGGCGTGCTGCGCTGTATCTGCACGGCCTTTCTCGTGTCGACGCAGGAAACACTCCTGGAGTGCCACCGCTGCAGAAATTGGTGTCATCCTGCCTGCGTGGGTGTCGACCACGCGGAGCTGCGGCGGTATCAGGTGGAAAACACGTACGTGTGTCCGTACTGCACTGGCATGTACAAGCGGCAGCGTGGAGGTCCGCAGGCACCCGCACCGCGGCAGTTGCCACTGCGTCTGCGCGAGGTGCCCGACCGGCTGCCGTTTGGCTCCGTTACGCAGTTGCGTCACCTGCTGAAGGTCACGGTGCGGGCTGCCCAGCGGGCCGGCTTTGCGGTGATCGATCTCCCACTGACGGGCCTCACCGATGCGATGGAGCGGGAATGTCTCGGGTGCTGCGAGGACGCCATTAAGGAGGCGACGTTCTCCGAGCAGTATCCGTCGTATTGTCTCAAGGAGGTGCGTGAGCAGGTGCACCCATACGTGCAGGGGACGTTGCTGCGCTGCACCAGGGTTGGCCGCATCGTCTCTATGGTGCTGTCAAATGGCATGGACGTGTATGGAAATCTCCGTCCGACGATCACGCAGCTGAAGAGTGGCATCAACCGCGGTTTGATTGACCAGAAGCACCAGACCAGCTTCATGGCAGCCTGCACCAAACTCACGGATGTGTCCGATTTTGTGCACATCACGTTGAGTGCCACACACCGGGGCTACCAACGGCAAGGGCTCGCGCGCATGCTGATGGTCATTGACCTGCTGAAGTGGGCGCTTCGGGGACGTACACGTGCCTACTTGAACATGGCGCTGGAAAAAAGAATTGTGGACGGTGGTACGCGCTTGGAGTACGTGGCGTCGCCAGCCTCGCGGCGGCTGTACGAGTCATTCGGTTTCAGGGATGTCTATCCGCGGTTTGACCGCGAGACGGACGAGGCGCGATGGACACCGAAGGAGGCGGACATGGGTCGCGTGATGGCGCACCTGAGCTTTGTGGAGGATCTCGTCGGAATGGCGGCGCGGTACGAGAACAGTAGTGCGAGCGCTAAAACTATTACTACTTCTGCAGCGGCGGCGGCGGCGGCTAGTAACGGTGGGGTGGGCGCTGCTGGAGTGGGGGGCAGAAGGGCCCGGTCGCCTTCGCCGCCGGTAGTAAAAAGGCGGCTTTCGTTGCTTGGTGGAAGATCGGGGAGACGAATGGAGTGATGGTGCATAGTAATCATCTTGTGTCTGTGTGTCTGCTTGCTTTCCACTCGCGAAAGGTTGCTTTCTTACTTGTCAGTACCCTTTTATTTAATGAACTCAAATGGTTGGTTGGGTGATTGGCTGTGTGCCCTTTTTTTTTTGTGCCCATGCGGCTCCTTTTCTAACGCTCTAACCTCCAACTGCTACACATCTACCACTGCGTCCTTTTGTTTTGTCTGCTGATGGGGGGGGAGGTGAGTAGGCGCGTGCGAACGTGTGGGTGTGGGTGTGTCATTTGATACATGCTTGTGGTGCGAGAAAGAAGCAAAGATGAGGAGGGTTAACGCAAGGACCGAAAAGAAAAAAAAAGATATGGAGGACTCAACGACTAAACACATGTTGTGTGGGTGTGTGTGTTTTTGTGTGCATTCTGGCTGCTTTCTTTTGTGCAGCTCTGTTGGAGTGGGTGTTTGTGCCTGGGTGATGTCCACGCTCACTGCTTCGTCAACTGCCGTGTGTGTGCTCTGCTGTTGCCTCGCTGAATTCTGTTTTTCTGGAGGGCTTTGCATAGAGAGGCCGGTGGGGGAAACCCACGATTGACAGCACAGTGAAACCGCCACAGAATAGAGCCACGAGGAGGAAGGAAAGAGGAGAAAAAGGGGGAAGATGCGTCCATCTCTACATCTTTGGAAGGCAAAGACGCTTGCACAGATGTTTCGCAAACTGAAGTTGGTTGGGGCGCACCCAGATGTCCTCTGGGCCGTCGACGCGCAGAAGGCGCAGCACAATGGCGAGGAGATGATTCGCCTGGAGACGTTGATGCACCGGCGCAGTTCTGTGAACGGAAGCGGCGGCAGCCGCCAAGCCACTGCGGAGAGTTTCACCTTCTGGTTGGCTGACCAGAAGCAGCAGCACCTGGGCAGCAGTGGAAGCGTACCGCTGCACTCAGTGACATGCACTATCAACCCAGTGGCCCCGGCCCGTGTCGTCAAGCAGCAGCTGTCGCAGCTGTTCCGCGATGCGGGTGTGTATGAAGAGTTCGAGATTGGCGACGAGGGAGTCGAGATGAACCTCGAATCTGTGCTGCGGCACGCAGATGAGCGGCAGACCGAGCACCTGCACCAATCCGGTGCGCTCTACATACGTGGGGACAAGGCGGTGGAGATGCTACGACGCTTCGGCGTCCTACTCGTCGTTGAGGAAGACGGAATCACGTACCTCGTTACGCTGCCGGAGCTGCTGTCGCAGCAGCAGCTCGACTCAGCGCCTGCGACGTACACCCCGGCGCGGAGCCTCGTCGGTCCCAATGGAGAAATCGACCCCGATGTGCAGGAGTACATGCGTGATCGTGGACTCCGCGCCTTTGACCTGCGCATGGCTGGCAGTCACTCCTCGGTGGAGCGCTTCGTGTCCGCCTTTGAGCGGCTGGAGCGGATGTACGACGTGCACCGCGGCCGGGCGATGCGTTCGTGTGTGTGCCTTGTTGTGTCCCTCAAGTCACCCGACAACTATGTGGCGGAGGATGGCTGCATTGTCCTTTCCGTGCACCGCATGCCGGTGTGGGAGGAGTTCCTGCTTAGCCTTCCGCAGGATGTGTGGCAGAACTGTGTGGAGCTGCACCGCAACTGGCGTGTCGGGAACGCGCCGAAGTTTAGGGAGCGGCAGCGGCAGCTCATGAGGGTGGCTGACATGTTCCACTTCTTCAGCGTGCGGCTCGAGTCGGGCATCGGCTCCCGCACGGACTGGCAGCAGCAGCTCATACTCCGCCTGCACAAAGAGGAGATGATGATACGCAACGCGGTACGTAAGTACGGCCTGGCGTCCGACCTGCTGAAGAAACGTGGGGAGATGCACGTGGCATTCACCCTCCGCAGTGCACTCGACCCCACGAAAGAGATCGGCTACCGCATCGGTGGCGACGGCCGTCTCTTCTTCAACTACAGCATGATGAGCACGGGGCAGATGCTGCGCGTGCTGAAGGACAACCTCCGCCGCCTCGAGACGTTCCAGAAGCAGCATGACGACGCGGTGGCTGCGCTGGAGCATTTGAGTCGAAGCATCCCGGTGGACTTCAGCGTCGACACGGAGTGGAAGCTTCGGGAGGAGGGCAACCTGGTGAACTGCTTGCAGCGGTTTGTACGGACGATCAAAGCGAACCAGGCACAGCTGACAGCTTTCCTGACGATGCTGCTGAAGAACAGCGACACGAGAGGGGTGCCGAAGAAGCGGATGGTGTGGATCATATCCGCGCGCTTCGACACGATGCCCAGCGGTGTTGTGTTCATTCCATGGGACGTCGACTTTGAATCCATCAAGAAGCACCTGCTACCGCGAGCCTGAGTGAGGAATGAGAGTGTGTGTGAGAGAGAGAGCGGGTGTGTGCTTGAAGGGGAACTGAGGTGTCTGCTGGCGGCGGCGGCGGTAGCAGCGTGTGCTTGGTTTCACCGTTGTATTTCTCACATTTGGTGGTGTTGTTGACTCCCGCTGGGTGGGACGGTGCCGGTTTGGTTGGAGACGTGCCGCCCCCCACCGCGCGCGCGCGCACGCTTTGAGGCGAGGCGGGGAAACGGGAAAGACTGAGCAGGCCACAATGTGGTACGCCTCTTTGTGTGTTCGTATTTCGTTTCGGCACGTGTGCCTTTTCATTGCTGCGCGTTGTATTGTCCGTCTCTCTCTCTCTCTCTCTCACTCACTCTCTCTCTCTCTCTTTGTTTCGTAGTATAGCCTTCTCTCGCGGTGGTAAAGACAGCAGCGCAACGCTCAGGCAAGCGGAATAACGCAACAACCCTACAAACGACAAGATCAGGAAGAAAATGAGTGGAGAAAAGGGCGCCGGTTACTTCAGGCTCCCTTGTGGGCTGACAGTGCACAATATGTTTTTGTTTTCTCAGTCCTTGGTGTTTATTCTCGTCATTATAGCCACCCCCATCGAGATGTACACCTCGTCGGCGGCGCAGGGGTGCTACACGCTGTGGGGCTACGAGGAAAACTGCAACAGGTGGAAGCCAAGGCTGGAGTGGGGCTGCAGAGAGCGGGCCAACACGATGGGCACCGCAGCCTCCTTCTCCGTGATCACGCTTCTCCTGTCGCTCATCAATATCGTCTTGGCCGCAATGACTATATACGGCCGTGTGCGCATCACGCCAACAGCGAACTTTGTCTTCTCATCCGTCATTCTCGCTACGCTCACGGCGGGCTGGGCCTGCGTTGTGTACGTACACGAAAACTGGATGTGCGGCCCTCTGGTTGGAAGCAGGATTGGGGACGACTATCACTACGGCGCTGGTTTTGGTCTCTTGACTGTCGCGTGGATCACGCAGATATTCACGGTTTTTCTGTCAGTATTCAGAATGTTCTTATAGCAAATATACACAAGAAAGCAAAAAAAAAAAAAACAAATAGGGGACCAAGTAGTTTACTGTTTTATATGTGTCTGCGTATCTTCGAGTGGATGCACTTGTTCGTTTTAGCAACGTCGGCGGCAATGTGTTGGTTTTGTTGCGTCTTTCCTCCGTGTCGTTCTTTGTGTGACTCTGTGTCTGTCTGAGCGGTATGATCTGCCTGTGTGTGTGTGGCTGGGTGGCTTCTCTTGCTCCACCATACATGTGGCGTCTCGTCGCACTCTTCTGCTCTCTCTCTCTCTCTCGTCGTTGTCGTGCTGTGCACAGCAAGGCAAAAAGGAGCCGATAGGCTAAAGTGAAGTATAACACTCGACGTTTCTGCGGCAACATGGGCTTCGCTTTTGGCATAACGAAGCACCTCATATTCCTGATTCTTCAGGCCATTGTTTTTCTCTTTGTTGTGATTGCCACACCCCTCGCCGTCTACCGGTCGCCATTGACGAATGCCTGCTACACCATGTGGGGCTACAAGCTGAACTGTGACAGCACCTCAGTGCAGGCCTCGTGGTCATGCAATCAGCAGCGCGACACGATGAGGGCGGCAGCCGCCTTTTCCATCATCAGCATATTTTTCTCACTCATAAGCACGGCTCTTGCTGCACTTTCACTCTTCTGCAACATGCGGCTGTCAAATATGATTCTTTTTGTGTTGAGCGTCCTCATCGTCTTCACACTTATGGTGTGCTGGGCCTGCATCGCGCACGTGCACGACGCGAACGTGTGCAGTCCGATATCCGGGGGCTCCATCGGCAGATTCTACGGGTACGGTGCGGGCTTCGGCCTGTTGGTGACCTCCTGGGTCGTGCAGATACTCGCGTCGATTCTCGCCGGCTTAATGACGTTTGTGTAGGGGGCGGGAGGACAAAGAGTGAATTGCCTTTCTTTGTTTTAAGTTTGACTAATTATGGGAAACTTACGCTGTAGAACATTATATTTTCTGCGAAGCCGTGTGGGGCTTGCTTGTTGTTATGTCTTTTGTTTATTTCTGTTGTGAGTATAACGGCCTGCCGTGCATTACTGTCATTGTTGAGATGCTACTCCATGTGTAGTCTTCACTGTGT